TCATGTAGGGCTGCAGAGATGCCACAGACAGGCTGCCATGGAAACATTTGTTTTCATTCACTGGTGGCCTGCATGATAAGAAAGTCTGAGTGGTACAGGAATGACGAAAGAGTATAAATTACCAATGGCCTCAGACAGCTGAGCCTTTCAAAATGAAATCTAATTATTTTACCATTTATTTAGACAGATTATGTTACAGCTTTCTGACCTCACATTGTGAGTGACAGCATGTATATATTTAGAGCAGCAACAAAGACAAATTCCAACTTGTTTTAGGAAGACACTTTAAATTAGGCTATGTGTAATGGAGAGCATGACAGCTTGTTCCACTTGCATCTTTTAATTAAAATGCAGCGGTCTAGATAACAGAAAATTGAGATGGGGAAGATATGGACAAGAAGGGAAATAAATCCTGGAAGAAACATAATTGTACTACAGCATTTGAAAACTCCTACTTAAAGCTGAAGAAACCCAGAAGTTATTTTTGCTTGTTTTCTTGAATCTTAGGAAAAACTTGAACTAGTGTGTTCATTGCCTTTTTTAGGTTATGTGAAATTAATTTGCAGTCTTGGATCTTTCTTTCTCCTTAGCTCTTCAAACCAATGAATGCAAAGCATAGGTCTAGCTTGCTTAAAAGTGACAATCTGAAGTGCAGTTTTGGCCACAGCTCTGGCCTTGGACACTTTGACAATCAACATTTCTGAGCATGATGCTGGTTGGGAGAGCATAATGAACAACCCAAGGAGAACCACTGCCAGCAGGGGTGAATATCTAGGTGGAAACCACCATGCTTTGTTCCTCTGAATGGACTGCATCGACTCCTGTGATCCAACGCCCCTCAGAAATCTCCAGGCTCTTCATGACATGGGAGAAACACACAGCTGCCCTGAGGCTGTTTGTCTTGGCAGACTGGGGACAATGTCAATGTACAAATACCTCTTTTCCAAAAGCCAACAGCTTTCCCTGGGGAGGGAAAGCACCATCAGGTGGCCATCCCACCTCGGAAAGGAAACCCTGCTCTGAAATAAGGCTGCCACTACCATCTGCAGGCTTCTGGACAAGAGCAGCACTGGGGGTACAGATGGTAACACTGGTGGTGTATGGTTTTGGAGGAGGATGAATGAACAGGTTGGGTTACCTCCTTAACCTGGTTTTGGCTTGTAATGTGTTACTGCATGAAAGACTTTCTGGGTCAGGACAGATAGAGCACACAGGCAGTAACACTGCAGGGCCTCAAGGGAAAGCTTTTACCTGGCATTTGCTTAAGATCCTTTCACTGAATGGAGACTACATTAGATGACCCCCTGTTAACCTCAGCTTTGAAGTTAGCTCCACTACACTTTCCCTCATACATCTCATACAACATGAAAAAAACCCCAGTGTCACAAATGTAAAGCACTGAATGTGAGAGAGATTGAAAGATATAGCAGCAGACAGTGAAAATGCTCAGCATTAAATATGGAATAAGAAAGAGGGGCTTCTGAAACAAAGGACAGCAAGGGCATAATGGATTAACCAAACTTGCCTCAGAAGTGTCTCAATCTGTGAGTACGTGCCACGTTGGCTGCCGGGTCATTAGCGGGATGAACACATAATTGATAAGCTGCAGGTTGTGCTCTACTGGAGAGCAATAAGCTCCTTTAAATTACATTAATATTTAACATACATAAAAAGCATTTGTCATTTGCAAAGCACTTTATAGAGTAACTGATGGATTCTATAATGATCCCCAACTCCCAGACTAGGGAATGCAATTCTGGAGAGATAAATACCTGGCCTGCATCCAAATCAAGATTCACTGACAGAGCTATTATTCTAGCTCAAAATTAGGTTTCTAAGTTTCTGGTCCTTCCAGATTACATTGCTTTTTAGCCTTCAGTAGGTAGAAGCATGATACACATGGAGCAGAAAGAAAGGAGCTGACAACACAGGATGACATTTCTGACCCACACCTAAAATTGTCACATCCCTACCTTGGGTCACTGTCTACTCTGAAAGATGCAGTTATGTGGGTTGAACAAAAGGAATGGAAGTATTAAATATCTGACTGCCATGTTGTCTGTCCCTCTCCCTTTTCTTTTAAAGAATTAGTCTTGGGGAATTTACTGACCTCCATAATTTGTTGGGTGCCTTAGTATACTTTATATTTTATATGTATATAAGAAAGAACTGAGATTAGCTCACTTGCTTACAGCATGGTGATAATGACACTAAGGGGGTAGGTTCAATCCCTGGTTTGGCCATTCACTTAGGAGTTGGACTTAATGATCCTTTTGGGTCCCTTCCAAGTCATAACATTCTGTAATTCTGTAAAACTTCATGGCTTAGTGTGCTGCTGACAGAGAAGAAAATATATATATATATATGGATGGATGCTTGTGCACACATACATTTTCCCCCCATTTAAATTGATACAGTGAGTTCACTTGAAGGTGATCCTTAAAATATTATAGCATTTTTCTGAAATATGACAGATTGTTTCTCATGCTGCAGCATTGAGTTTCTGTGTAACTGACACAGAATTTTATTACCCAAAACTTCTGTAGAACTTCAGCCTCCTACACAATTTCCTGAGATGTCTCCTGAGACAGACCCTCAGTTTCCCTGCCCTAATAACTCCCTTTGTGAATTCTTTTTTACTCCTTTGGAGAAAAAGCACAGCGCAAGTCACATCATTTGGCTGGACTCAGCATCCTTTTGCTGTAGCTAAGCTTTATGCATGCAGGAAGTGGACTTCCTTTGGATCTACCAAGAATTCCCATGGGCTAGAGTGGGCTGTGCCACAGAAGCACCTGCAGCTGTATCATCAACACATACAACATACTGATAATATTACCTAGGAAGGATGCAAAGTCTGAATCACACTGTTTAAGGCATGTAAGGTGTATCACCACTCCAGCTGCACTCGTTAAATCTGAAATACTTGTTCCTCCTAACTAGCTTTGTTTCAATGTACCCCATGGTCTACTCATCATCATAGCCTTACAGCTTCCTCATTTAAAAAGTCATGCTTTTAGGAGCTCTATTCTCATCAATACGGCATTCTGACTGGGAAGCCTGATCATCTTAGAAGAAGATAAAATGATTACTGCTGACAGTCAATACAACTTGAAAATATTTCAGCAGTGTAAGTAGAAAAAAATCATACAAAACTTATATTGGACATTATTCAAGATCTATTCAGAACCTGCAAAGCAGAGGGAGAAATTTGACAAGCAATAAAACAGGATGGCTTCCATATGCCAGCATTTTTACACTTCAAGAGAACTCGAGTTTAGTGAAAGAGTGAAACTTCCTATAAAAAGTATTTATTATTCACAGCATTTCTTTGCATAAGTAGAAATGTAACATAACAAATCTCCCTTTCTGCTCCATCTTAGATTCCGATAAACCTCAGCCTGCTAGACAAGATTTCCATAGAAATCTTATTTGGTAAGATTTGCTTGATTGTATTCCAAAAAGTGACTCACATTTTACAAGCAAGTGGCAAAAGCTGAAATGAGTTGACTCTTTCCATCAAAGCCAGTATGAGTCACTCCTCCAGCTTAATGGCTCCCACACTATCCCTGAGTGACAAAACTGAGACTGCAGGTCAAGAAATGACCATTTAATAGTCACAAGGGATGTGTCCACATAGCTAGTCCTAGGCTGAAGGAAACAACATGGGACTTGGCCAGTGAAATGAAAAGATACTCAGCCACATGGGCAGCTAATTTGTTGTAAGAGTAGTAAAATACCAGCTTCTGTTTGCAGCTCACTCCTAGCATGACAACATTTGACCCAAACTGTAATGTCAGGGTTAACTAAAAACCACTAAGGTTTTTCCTCACCTGCCGCTCTCCAAAGCACCTAAAATGAGAGCTGCTAAGGACAAGTGGGCTGTGTGCAACGTGATTGTAAAGATGCTAAAGATTTGGCGCCCAGTCAGGTACTCCTTTTCTCCATCCTTTCTCCTTCTCCATGCTCCTGTGCATTTCCCTTTCAAGCGTGCAGACTATTTCATTTCTTCCTTTATACTCTCCTGTTCTCCCCAGATGGCTTTTCTTGTCCATGGAACTCTGCAGTAACCCAAAGGATGGCTGGCTTAGCCAGGTCCTCCAAGACTCATCCTTCCTCTGCAGCCACTGCTTGGTCAGGCTCAACCTTGTCTTGTGGGCATGACCTTCATGACCTTCTGACAAGCTGGTTCACTGCCCAAAAATCACCTTGATGACAATGACTGAATGGAGAAAGGGTCCACCCTGAGATGCTGAATTTTCTCACACTTACATTGAGATGCTAAATGTGCTCACTTTTTGCTTTTCTGGGGCCTTCTGGAGTTGAAGGCATCCTCTTAGCATGGGTCTGCCCACAGGCACAGACTGGCTTTTAAGTGACAGTGAAGATCATCCCTCCCAAAAGTAGGTTCCTCTCAGAGTCCCAGAAGGGAATGCAAGCTTCCGTGCAGAAAAATCACAGCATCTTTTTGCCAGTAACATTCAGACATGGTTATGATTCACAGACATCATGGAAAAGCACACAAAACTCTCCATTCTCACTGCTATTCGTGCTTGACATTTTCCCCACTTGCCCAGGGTGTCTCTCATGTCCGCAGTAATCTCACAATAGTCAGAATTTCTGTATGGACAATGACTCAATGGAAGACTCAACTCAGTAAAGTACCAAGGAAAAGAAAAGCCCAGTGATATCAAAATCCTTATTTGTTTATCGGCTTTGTTGCCTGTACTTTGTTTTCTGCATTCTTCTGTGGCTTGTGCCAACAGAAAATTAATCCACAGTCTCTGGCTGTTTCAGGGAATGCTCAGAATCCCTCACCTAGCTCAAATCTGTGCATCATCTTCAACAACCTCCAGAGAAAACAATGAAAGTATCTCTGTGCTTGGCACTGGTGAAATATCATGCCATTCATCCTTTTTCTTAAATTAGAAATACAATTTTCACCATTTATCTCCTGACAGGATGGAAAAAAAAAAAAAAAAAGATAACAAAAAGCCATTTACCTCTACTTCACATGCATATTCCGATCCATCCAGGAGCGTCACTTTGCATTGCATATTTTTCGGTTTCTTGACGATCTTTAGAGGAGACTTGGAAAGTTTGCTAGATGAAGATTTTTGAGAGAGCTTGTCGTCCTCTAGCTGCTGATATTCCAGCTGTTTTGCACTCGCAGCAGCAAACTCCTCTTCTTTCTCTGTGGCCTATAAAGAGGAAAGAAACATACTTTTTGAAATAAGATAAGCCAATCATGCCCTGCAATTCACTGTAAATGCTGCACCCAAGCATTTAAGTGAGCCTTTTTTGGGGGCTTGGACAAGAAAGCCACGATGCAGGACAGAGTCTTTACTGAAAAGATTTCCCATATTCCTTCCAACCCTCCCTTCTCCCTCCAAAATGTACAGAATACCCATGAAGGAGGGGCATTCATGAAAATATTTTAAGGCTTCTACTTTTTCCACAGGTACAAAATCCCACGTGCACTTCCTGTACTTGTTTTTTGGTGTTTTGGAAGTACTCAGCAATCAGTAAATTTTGTTGATGAACAGATACTCCTACACTTTCTTGATACTACTTTGAAGTTCTGTGCCTGTTAAATAATACGATGTTTCCATGGTGTCACACAGAACAGAAAAACACCACCAAGCTTGCACTAATTTTGCTTTCAATGGGAAAACAGTCCCCAAATGAGGGAATGGATCCCCCCTGAACAGCAGGAATTCATAAAGGGATGCTGACGTCCCTGGGAGAGTGAAAGGCTCCTCAAGAACCCAAGCAAAGGGTTAAGAAAACATGACAGAAGTGAGGGGCCAAGCAACTTTAATGTGCAGCCAGCTGGCTAAATGGACAGGATGAGAGGATGAATTTTGCTCTCTGCTGATGCCCAGTAAGCCTCTCAAGCTGGAGAGAAGTAGGTGCTATTTGGAAGACAAATATACAGCGGGGAAGAGGGGCAAGAAGTAAACTACCATGGCTGCTTTTGCTCAGGTTTATCTATGGGTCAGGCCATTTGAATTTCCCGTGATGCAGAACAGCCCCCAGTCCTCTCCACAGAGCTAGATGAAAGCCAGAACAGCTCTACTGCATTTCACCCTTCCTAGCAACAGCACTGTGCTGCAGCCATTACCCTTCTCATCAGTTATACCCCGGATAGACTCCAAACAAAACCTCAACAGGAGTGCAGTAATACCTCAGCTAAAACTTAAGTTAAATAAAAACATCTTTCTGTTATCTCACTACAAGGCAAAAAAAAAACCCAACCTGCTGTGAATTATTTCAGTGTAATAAGCAACAAGCATTAGTGGAAATATATTGTAAATTAATCCTGCAAGTCTGTTTCCATTCATTGTATATAATAAACCTTCATGAGAATGGAGCAAATCCATCCAAAGGCTTTAAGCTGCTTTGAGACCAGAAAAATGTTGCATCATATAACCTGAAACAACACTGTACTTCTAATCATGGGGTACTGTCCCTGAGTGATTTTATAAAAACAAGCTTTAAGTTTCTCCTCTGCCTTCTGACAATGGGGCAAAGGACAATTTGGAGCTGGCTGTGATCCCTACAGTGTTAGCTCCCACCAAAGCCCAGCAAATTACAAAGAGGTATGGCAAGACCTCACAGTCCTCCTCTCCCTGCAAGGAGGACACAGCAACAGCCTCCTGGGCATTCCTGGACAGGGAAACTGGAGAAGAGTGGGGCTTAAAAGATTAAAAGGCAAGAGCTGCTTCCAAAATCTATTGCATCTCCTGGGCCATGAATGTTCTTCCTCAGGAGCAGCCAGGCACCAGCCACCTCTTCCCCCATCTAGCTCCAGCACAAAAGGAATTCCTCCTTCCAGCAGCTGGACACCAGCTCTGTGCCTGGATGTCAAGGTCCTCACACACCCTGAAAACTGGTGGGAGATGAAGGCACAGTGTATGTAAGTGGATCAGCTGTTTGCTGGGCATTTAACACTCACAGCAGCTGCGATGACGAGGGAGAGACCCCCTGGGCTCACAGCAAGGCTTGAGGCCAACTAGCCTTCCACCACATCTGCAGCCAGCTGGCAACTGGTCCAGCCTTGTGCAAGGAGAAACAAACAGCACTGAAGATGCCTCCTGCTTGGGCCTCTGTGCAGAGCTGCACTGCTGCTGATGGGCAGAGGGGCTGTGATGATTTCTGTATGTTTTGTCAAAAGAAATCTGCCAGGAAAGGTGAACGTGCATATATGTGGGTAAAAAAAGTAATTCCAGCGATGGAGGAAAATGCACTCCCTTACCTAGTGGCTCATCACATTTCTCATATGAGGGTTAGCCCTGTGCTCCAACAAAAAACAACCAAAAAATACCCCAGCATGGAACTAATCTCTTTGAAGAAAACAGAAAAGCTGCTTGAGGAAAAAATCCAAAACAAGGACACCCCTCATCCATTTATAACTTAGAAACATACTCAGCCTGAGAGCAATTTATGTGGATCCCAATGGACTAGTCATTATTTTCCTTCATAAAGACAGTCAGTATATCAAGATTACTGCAGCATTTTCCTTATTTATAAATATTAAAAAATATTACTGAGGTTATTTTGTTTGTTAAGGTTCCCATCTACAGTAAGATCAGGGGAATGTGTCTAGGTTAAAATAATACAAAAGGTTTTCCTCTCATTTTTCTGGAGAACAAAACATGCCAAGAACTATTAGAGAAGATTCCCCCAAACTATGCTGACATGTTCAGGCATTGAGGTACTTTCAGACTGTATTAAGTCTCTTCTTCCTAAAGAAACCTGACATCCTGGAACCCAGGAAAAAAAAAGGCCAGTGAAAGACCCATGTACATGGTGAATTATTTTTTACTCTGCAAGGATAGATTCATTTTCTTATAAATTCTTCTCCAAGGTATTTCTGTATTGTATTTTGTTTTTTTTTTAAATTTTTTGGCAGTTTCTGTGTTCTGTTTTTACAGTATTTTTTAAGTGCTATGGACTAAATTCTATCGCAGCACAAGATGCTTCAGGGTTTGCATTTTTTGAGCATAATCTCTCTCATGTATGACACAATATGTTCAAGCCCTTCTAAATCTCGACCTCCTCTCAAAGGATGCCTCTGGAGTCACGAAATTCAGCAATAAAGATCTTGGATGCTTTGCAGCTTCTCACTGGGGTATGAAGTGATATTGCCACACTTGCAAAACACATTACTCCCATCTGCTTATGGTAGTTACTCAGAAACTTTGGTGCCCGACTTTGTGTGATGTCACCTTTTCTTTTTCAAAGAGACAGGAAGGCAGGCAGAAAGTGAGGTTGCATTATTACACCTGATAGGAAGGACTTATTTTTCTAATACCTGTTAATCTCAATATGAAAAGGTTGTTCACTTACATTAAAATGCTGGGGGGTTTTATGTGCATAGGATGACAAAGAAAAGTTACTGTCATGGACTGGTAACTTAAATCTTCCATCCCAAGGTTCTCTCATATAAGTAACAGCAAAAATCCACTCTCTCACTGCAATTACGGAAAGCAAGAGAGAGAATAAGATCCTTCAGTTTCTGACTTTTTAATGATACTACTGCAAACAGCTTTGTCTCGTAGTGCTGCATTTAAATGTCCCTTTCCTGAGATACAGACATTTAAGGCACTACAAAATATACTGGGCTGATTAGTGCAGTTGGACTTGGCAGTCGGCTTACAGCATGGACTTTTGGATTCAGTCTGGTAATCTCAGCAGGAAGGTGTCACATATCCCTTTCACTAACCCAGTTCTTCTATCTTGCCTTCTACAAAAAACAGCTCACTGGAGGTCTTTGGGAAAGAAAGGGATCATGCAGCACACAAGAGCATCCCACACCTCTAAACATACGAGGACAGGCTTGGTGTCTAAATGAGTTTGGGCTTTTTTTTATGTGTGTGGTTATTGTGGAGTTGGGCTTGTTTTGTTGTTTGGGTTTTTTTGCTGCTGTTGCTTATTTGTTTTACATTTTTAATGAGAAAAGAAACTTGAAGTGGAAAGATTACTGAAGATGCCAGGAAAAACATCTATATAAATAATAGCACTTATGCCTAAGACTGATAGAATTACACTTTTAATCATTCAACACCTATATCTTTTGGAGAAGCTTTGTTTCTTCTCCCCAAACTAATTCTAGGAAACTTCTGATCTATCTGAGAGATCAAAATTGCTTTGCCAGCATTGTCTACCCCAACCAAGTAAAAGAACAGGAGCCCACTTCAAACAGCCAGAATTTTTTAAAGGATAGAGAAGAGGAGGAGCTAGACTGGCTTATTCCACTCTCCAAAGGTAAATGTAATCAGATGAGGGTCATAACCTTACGAAGCTAAAGGAAGAGATTTGCAGGTACCTCATTAATTGTGTGTCACTTACCCATGAAGAAAAATGGCTGTTAATCCTATTGACTGGAAATTATTAACGGAAAGAAGAAAGCAGCTTCTGGAAATTTAATAAGTGCAACAATGAACTAAATGGAAAAGCACGCAATAGCTCTTCTGAAACCTATTACATGAATAGCTCAAGTAATTATAATGCAGTCATTTCAGACCAACAAGAAACTTAAGGGACCACAGATTCTTCATGGCTCACACATCAGACAAGCAGGCATGAAATCAGTGTTCAGCAGGTGTCAAAAGGAATGAACTCTGAAAACATTTTCAGTTTCATAAAAACTGACACTGTTTGCTATCTAATGCAAACGCAAGGTCAAAGAGGTTTCCTGCTTAGTTAATGAGACTGCCCTCCTGTTTAAGTACCAGGGGCAGAAATGCCTGCCATGAATTTGAAAACATTTTGCATGAGAACTATTTTCCTTTAAACACGAAAGACCAACCAGCCCAGATCTATAGCATCCCATCAAACACCCTTTCACGCGTATCTGAACATATATTTGCACTCCACACGTGCCAGGCTGGTTATTTCCCGGCAGCAGTAGGTGGGCACTCAGCCAGCTGCGTGCAGCGAGCGTGGGTGCATGGGCTGCCTTACCTGCTCCTTTCTCACGGGAGTGCTGTGCGCTGCCACAGCCGAGAACTGCTCGAGTGCGGTCTGGTGTTCTTCACTCGGCTGCTGCGGCTGCTGCGGCTGCTGCTCCTGCGGCTGGGTCTCCGCCGCCCCTTCCTGCGCAGGGCTCTCCTCCTGATCCTGCTCTTTATCCTTGGACTCGGAGTCTGATCCCGATTCTGTAGTCATGGTTGGTTATTCTGCAAGACAGGGTGAGCAGACCTACTGAGTACAATCTCATGGCTGTGAATTTGTAAGCTAGGCATACAAAAAAGATCAGATGGTTTTAGTCTTAATATCCTCAGCCTTTAAAACTTAAGTGCCTATCACACTGGCCGAACCAGGATCCCTAGGAAAGCTTCCCTGGTGCAAAAGACCAGGTCTAAATGCATCCATTCTCTAGGGGAAAAACATTGCCAAAAAATCTTATTCTACATAGTAAAACACAGACGTTATAGGACTTATGTGCAAGTTAAATACAGAATACATAGTTCATAATTTATAGAGGGAGAGTAACCCAATGGGCCTTAAATCTAACAAAACCCAGTAGAGTTTGGGTTTCTAAACCATGTGGAAACTTGAAACATTAAATCTTTTGTCCTTTACGTTGAAATCAAGAGGACTTGAGCTCCTCAACGTCTGCACTCCCTTTTGGAAATGCACTCAAGTACTTTTGATGCCTCCAAGCAATATATTAATAGTTGAACTAGATGATCTTAGAGGTCTTTTCCAACCTAAATGTTTTAATGATTCTATACCTACTAGAAACATCTGAAATGGGTCCACCAACAACCGTGCAAACATAACATTTGCCCTTAAACCCAGTTCTGTCCTTCCCACTTGAGTTCATCTACATTTCTGTCATTTCTTTCTAAGTGCTAGAGCACCTAAAACAAAACATAAAGACTTCCATTAAGTCATTCTAAGTGTCAGATTTCAAATGAAGGGAATACAACTTTCATTGAATGTGAAAAGTCTGTTTCTACTTAACTTTGTCCAGTACTAAATCAAAATGGAAATATTAGCAATATTAATTTAAAATTTTAGCTACTTTAATTAAATAGTTTTGTTGCAAATATGTGGTTGGCACCCAATTCTCAAACTAAATACTCACGAACCCCAACTTCTAAAAAAATACTGTGATTTTTTTATCAAAACAAGGATTTGAAAAAGGAGACTCAGTTCAGCAAAGGGAGTGTGCTTTGTTGTTTGTTATTCATATGTTCTCAGACCTCACAAACTTATTCTTGAACAGTTTGCTACTAAGCAACTTGAAGGAAAACCAGTCTGCTGTAATCTATTTCTGTTAGTCATCAGGACATGATTTCTTTAACCTGGTAACCATGGCTACTGTGTAATTATAGGTGATTCCACAAAACATATCTCTGCTAATTCACCTGCTAGGAAGTCACTATGAACTCCTAGTATACACTACAATGCTTACTAGTGTAAGCAAGTTTATTATAGAAGATAAGAAAAGTACAAACCTTTCTCTTTTTCTTTACTTAAATGTTTGATAAGCTAAATTGGTTGACAGAAAATGTTTTAAATGAGGCCAATTACTATTTTCAAACTCACTTGTGTATTCTGCACTTTCAAGGCTAAGCTCTCCAGTGAATACACGTCTCTGCAGTCACAGCATTCAGCCTGTGCTCAGCTCCGGCACTGTGTGTGAGGAGGGGGGTGTCAGCCAAAACAGCAGGACAGAGAAGCAGAACTAAAAAGCATACATGGCAGATTTATGCCTCAGGCCACATTTTCAAGGTACTAACATGTGACACACGTGTTTAGAAACACGCTGTAAATTTCTACACTCAAACTGGCACAAGTGTATAAAAAAACACTTTTTGAAATGTGTTATTTAACAAACTATCCTTAGCATCTACAAAAAGCAATAATTAACTTGGGTCTTAAAATGTGATAGTGAGAAAGGTGTTCATTTGTTCATTTAATCAAACTCCAGCTGTCCATATCTGAGATGGTCACTTTAAATGCAGAGCAGAAAAACAGACGTTTCAGAGAGGGATTCATCTGACCTATTTTAAATTCCTGCATTAAGCTGTGTTAAATCACATACTAGAGCAACTTCAATTTTCTACGAAGGAAGCCTAAACAAGTTCCTCCAATGCAGATCACTCAAACCCATCATCCATGTTCAATTCTCTTAAGCCATTCTTTTTTGTATGCTTTAAACACTAAATTGAACAACAATGTTAATCTCTCAGTTTTGCTTTACCCATCTGTCAAATCAACGTGGAATAAACTATTCTTCATCTGCCACTCATTATATTTTCCTTGCTTTAAAAGCATCCAGGTCTCCACAAATGTCTCAAGTTTGCTCCTGCCCACCCCCATCCTGTTTTGTACAAGTGCTTGAGGACATGAAATGCAAATTAATCAAATAATTATTGCAGTGAACTCCAACTATGTGTTCAGTTTTCTTTTCTAGAAACCATGAATTAGGAAGTTACCAAAACCTAAATTACAGCTACAAAAATCATTGTTCAAACAAACGAAAGAGCACCTATGATCAATACCAAAAGTAATGCATGAAGTAAGTTGTAATACATTTTCCCCCCTTGTGATATTACTTAATGCAGTGTAAATAAAAAGCAACCACCATACTTGCTGTATGATATGCACTTCTCTTTAGAAAGAGGTATTGGTATTACTCTCTATAGGATCAGATTGCCAGCCAATACTAATCAAAAGTCTGTCTTCTTTCAGCTGCCATCACCATGCCTCTGAAAGCTCATTTTTGCACCTTCCTAATGAAGGTAGCTTCTTTCCTAATGAACATTTGTATCCTGTCTGTTTACAAGCACGGAAACAGACATTTAAAATAGCCCCATAAACCACAACTTCATGTAGGATGAGATGTAAACAAGTTTTACCATTCCTGCTAGTTATAATTTTGAATCTCAGGGAACAACAAATGAGGTTCTTATTTTCTTCTGGGACATTCCTGCATGAAGCACAGCCTTACAACACCGAGTTACTCTCCAGGAGTTACTGGTTTTCTCTCCAGTTCCATGAGTTCTTGCTGGCTTTAAGAGTGCTTTATTAGAAAACTTTGTGTGCTTTATCAAATCTTTCAGAGTAAGAGATTTCCTGGACGCAATATTACTATCATTAGTCAGACAGCAGATGGATTTAATTAACCCAGGGTTGCCCATTTCCAAATGTCTTTATTTCCCCATGCATGCAGCATGTTTAATAACAAATACTGAGAACAAAATACTATTCTTCCCACACTGTTCTCTTACAGGTGTAAATAGAAGCAAAGCAAACACATTGCAAATCCCATTTCTTACAAACTCCTCAGATGAGAGTATTGTTAAGATTTATCTCCTTCCATCTAGCACAGGTTGAAAATACCTAAATTACAAGGCAGGAAACAACATTTCTCTCTCAGTGCAAACCAGTAAGTCGTTTTGCCTTCCTCAGCAAACATCTGCTTATCCACATGAACTCTGACAGCATTTCATTTGTTATAAGTAGCACAACAATCCTCCTAGGAAGAGGTAATTTCACTTATTGAAAGAAATAACAGCAATCTTAAGAAATTTACCAACATAAATATTACTCTACCTTTGTTTGTTTGCAGCAAACCTGACAGAATAGCTGGTAGTGCCTAAACATTTATCCAGCGCCCAGCTGGCTGAGAATTTCTTATTATTTGATTATTTACTATAACTGGCTATGCACCAAAACCATGACTTCTAATGTGAATTTCAGCACAGGAAGAAAGAAAACACTCAAGTTCCTTAAACTTTTTATGTTGCCAGCACAGCCTCTGTATCAAATTCCCCTTTCCAGCAAACAGAAAACAAGGCAATGAAGAGAAACTGGGAGCACTACCTTATACAAATGAGGTAATACTATGCAAGCCAGATGTGCTCTTGGATAGCTACACTTTGGCTTACAAGCCAGTATTCAAAGATTCCAAAAGATTAGCTGAGTCCAAACTTAACACAGATGCTGCTATTACTGGATAGTCCAAGGCAGAAGTACATTTGGCTGCAGAACGAAAATCAGAATGAAAATTAAGTCTTTTGATTAAAGGGAGGGGCGGGGGGAGAGGGGAAGCCCAAACCTAGCTGCTTTTAATCTACTACTAAAATTTTAAGCTAAAAATGTATGGAATGTCAGCAGTGTAAAATAAAAATATCAGTAAAACATTAAAATGTCAGTGTTTTAGTGCTGCTGAAAACAGGTAAGGGAGTATAGATATTAATATACTATCAAAGTGTTAAAACACAACTTCAAAAAATCAACATGGCATTCTATAATAATTTTATATGTAATGTAACCAAATCACAGAAAATAAATTTTTCTTACCATCACACTACAAAAAGACATTACATAAGGATTACAAAACCTGCAAACCACTTACGCAAAATCCCTACATCCTAAAACCTGACACAACACCTAGACCTTTCCTTCAGCTACCAACCTACTGCAGCTTGGGAGATTCCCATTTCCATTACCAATTACTCACCATAGACTTAGAGAACATAACTTACTTTTTTCCATAAGGGAACAAAAACCATGTTGTCTTCTGTGTCACCTGGTCCCCTGCAGCAAGTGACAGCCCCAATCTACTGTATAAATCCATACATTCAAAAACTTGACACTCTACCTCTCATCTTCAGAGCACAGACTTTCTGTGCTGCATCCACAGAGCAACAAAATTCACAGCTAATTGACAGCAGAGCCCACAGTTTAATTAACACTGCAGTCATTAATAAACCTTTATTTATATATAAATACACGCTAGTGAAAATATCTGCTATATTAAGCAAACAGAAGTCACATTAGACAAGAAATTGCAAATTAATTCTGAATAAATTGTGATGTAATGAGAAAACAAAATTGAACCAAGTATAATTAAATGAACTATACATAGCCACTATTTCCTGTAATGCACAGATTAATGATTTACATTTAAATGCTTCTTTGATCTGATTAATTCTCTTTGTAGGAAGTTTTCCTTTAATTACAGTAATTCTTGAAGATTGTTATAAATTTTTGCGAAGGTCCAAATTTGGAAATTATGTAACAAAATAATGATTCCACACTTCAAAAATAATTTTCTGCATAATGAGAGACATATTTATCCAATAATGATGAGATGCTGATGAAAAGAGCATATGGAGAACAATATTGCTGCAATGAGCAGTGACAGAAATGCCATATA